TAGATTGGATCCATTTCCTAATTGATATTCTATAGTTTCTTCATATTGAGCTTGCATTCTTTGAGCAAATATTTACTCTTTAATTCCATTTACGAATACATTAAATGGAATTTCTGGATCAATAGATAATTGTAAATTTAAATTTGCTTATTATAGATTTACAACAACATTAACATTAATTGCATGAGGTTAATCACTTCTCCCTTATTGTTATTAGTTATTCTAATCTAATAATTAATTCATTTATAAATTATTTTTAATATTAAATAAATCTTTCATCTCTCTTGGTTTAATACTTAAGAATTATAATATATTATATATAATATTGATTATCAAATATCATGAAAAAGAACAAAGGTAATAAAGAAACTTTATTACTTAATGAAAATACTCTAGTTATATATAATTAATAAAATTATATAATCAAAGTCTTAGAAACCTTATAAAAATGTAGTGAATTCGGAGTTCATGAGGTTTTAAATCAATTAGATTACATTTCTTGAAAAGCTGTCTTAATTATTGAAGATTAAATGAATTATAAAATCAACAACAAATTAAAATGAAAATTATTTTGCTTTCAATTTACTTATCCATTATTATTAGGAAAAAGCTTTATATATGTATTATCATAAGTTTCATTAAAAATTGCAAAACCCACAATTTTTAATGTTAAATATTATGTTGTATTTGACTTTAAAGAAAGATTTTTGAATAAATCTTTAATCTATTAATTTGCTATTATTGTTATTTTAAATTTTGTTAATAATAAAATCATCTTATTAGGAGGCAATAAAAATAATTTTAAATCTTCACTAAACAAAAGGTTAAAATTAAGGTTTCTGTCTCATCTTAGAATATTATATTCTATTTAAATGTTTTAATTTAACTATTTTCAATTATTATACTTTTAATTCTCTATAATTATCATTATAAATTATTTATATTATTATATATATAATAGAAATTTATTATTAATGAATTATTTATTCGGAGGAAAAGACTTAAAATAACAATAAGGGAGAAGTGATTAACCTCCTGCAATTAATATTCATGTTGTTATAAATCTATAAAAAGCAAATTTAAATTTAGAATTAACTATTGATTCAGAAATTCCATTTGATTTATTTTTAACAGGAATTAAAGAGTAAATATTTGCTCAAAGAATGCAAGATGAAGATGAAGAAACTATAGAATGGCAATTAGGAAATGGATCCAATCTATAATAAAATGATTAAAGATCATTAAAATAGTTAGGATTTACAAATAATTGCACACTCTATGGTACACTTAAGCTTAAAGGAAGTAGGGAGCCTACAATAAATATTATTTGTTCTTATCAATAATTAAAAATAAAAATGAAGCTTCCATTTGCTCCTTATATTCCATTTGTGGAATTTTTGAATGAAATATTATTAAAATAAATATTTGAAAATGAAACACCAAGAGAATTTAAAAACAATATTGAATGTAAATTGGAATAAATAAAAATTATTAAGTTAAATGAGACTAGTAGTTTAGAAAATTTAGGATTCTCAAAAAATTGCACACTTTATATCAATCTAAATAATAGAGAATATTAAAAACAAAGTAATTTTTATCATAAATGTAGTATTATAATAAAAAATGATTTTGAATGTATTAGTAGATTTATAATTTTAAAAAATAGAATTAAATGTATCATAATATAAAAGTACTCCAATATCTTGTGTTTTTCATGATATTTTAATGGAATTATTTTCAAAGTTATAATTTAAAGTAACTCAACCATTTGCATTTTTTATTAATGAAAAAGAAATTGATCCTTATGATTGTAGATTATTAGAAGATTTTGAATAAATATAAAGTATCAATTTAGAAATGATTCCTTCAAATAAATAATCTAATCAATTACTAAATGAAAAATATTAATTTGCACTAAAAAATAAAAGTAAATGGTATAAATTTAAATTGGAAAATATTATAAAGATTTAGTGTATTGAAAATAATGTAACAGTTCGAGCTTTTATTAATACCTCTTTAGAAGATATAACTAAATAGATCATAAGTGAGTTATAAATATCCAAAATATATCAAGATTATTCTCTAAAATATTATATTAATGGTGAAGAATTTTAAGAAATCACTTCTATTTATTCTAAAACTGATATTAAAGCTATAATCAAATATCAAAAATAATAAAATGTTAATAATTCTTAATTCATATTTTAATACATTGGAGATTTTTATTAAAAAATGATTATTTGGGGTTAAATAAATTCTAATAATTTTTTAATTGAAGAATCAATCGAATTAAATGATTTACATAAAGAACTTTTAGATTATGTTAAATTTAAAATGTTTGGCATCAAATAAGAATAGTATTCATAAAAAATTTTGGAACAAGAAAATGGATTCATAAAGGTGAATTATATTCAAAAAAAATTATGAATAATATTTTTAAAATAGTAAACATATCATTTTTAATTTCATTATTTAACAAAAATTTTTAAAATTGTATTATATAATAAAATTAGTTTGATATTTTTTCATTATAGATACTATATTTTACCTAAGAAATATAGATATTTTCAAAAATATAAAGAATATAATTCAATATGAAGAAACATTAGAAAATTAATTGGAAAATCAAATAAAATTTTCTATAACTTAAAAGTTGAAAACTTTAATTGATTTAAACAACATCAAATATAATGAAAAAAAGGTAAGATATAGGATAAAAAAGCATCTTCAAAGAAAAACTAATCCCAAGCATTTTTAATATCTAATTTAAATAAGTAGAATTCGTAACAACATCTAACATTTCTAAGTTCCATAGACTTCCCTTGAAGTAACCATTCCCTATGCTCTACAAGATACACTATAATGAATTCTTGATCATCCTTATTTAACTTTCAAATTCATCCTTATCTATAATCTATCTATCACCTTAGAATGGCAAGGCACTTATTAGATTTTATATCATCGAAAACGGGTTCTCCTATAGTTGCCCTTCATTTATTATATTTCTTCAACTTATAAGTTAATAAATCCTACTTCATCCTTGAGTAGGTAGGTATTGATTGATTTACTTCACTTTTCAAACTATTTCAATTTTAAGAATAATCTCACTTTTAATCTTTATGTGAATCATAATAGTGGAATGAAAGATTTTTTAATTTTAATTGAAATATAAATTGCAATCAATTTATAACCTAATTCATAGTAAATATAAAGTTTGAACTTTGATAAAACAAAAATGTTTTTTGAATAAGAATTAGAATTAAGAAGCTAAAATAATTCAAAAAATGATGTTTCTTTGAGAGACATAATATTTCACAAAAAAAGATAATTTATAACTGGTATACCTTGATTTAGAATGGAAATAAGAAAAAGAGAATATTTTGAAATAACCTTGAAAGACTCAAAGCCCAAACCAAAAGAATAAACTTAATTTAAAGAGGCTCTGTGACTAATTATAATTAAATTATTTTGGTAGTTTAAAAAGAAAGTTATTACGCTTATTTAAAAATCTTCTAATAATCTACAATCAAATGGTTCAATTTCTTTGTCATTTATAAAAAATGGAAATGTCTAATTTACAGACGACTATTATTCTGACAATAATTCTAGTAATTCTAGTAAAATATCATGAAAAACACAAGATACAGGAGTATTTTTATATAAGAAATTAACAATTCTACTGAAATAAAAGATACATTCTAATTCAATGATGATTCAAACTTCAAATAAAAGAGCAAAACAAAATATGTAATTTACAAAAGCAATGAATATATTGAGATTTTAAATGTAACTAAAGCCATTAAATAAATTATATTGTTTAAAAGTGTATATTTTCATAAAGATATTAAAAACATAAACTATTCCTTAATTATAATAGATGAACGTAGTTTAGCTAAAATCAATAATTATTTTAACATGATGTTTAAGAAGTTCCTCCTTTAATTTTGGAAATTTTCAGAATTATTTTCTAACAATATGAACTAATTGTTTTAATTTCAAATGATTGGTTTCAAATTTCACAACTAAATTTTAGATATTTCTTCAGTTTTTAAAGCTATCAATATATTATTTTATTTAATATATAATAATTAGAGTATTTTTATTAAGTATTCTATTTTAAATTAATTAATTAATAATCAATAATATTTATATTATAATTCTTAAGTATTAAACCAAGAGAGATGAAAGATTTATTTAATATTAAAAATAATTTATAAATGAATTAATTATTAGATTAGAATAACTAATAACAATAAGGGAGAAGTGATTAACCTCATGCAATTAATGTTAATGTTGTTGTAAATCTATAATAAGCAAATTTAAATTTACAATTATCTATTGATCCAGAAATTCCATTTAATGTATTCGTAAATGGAATTAAAGAGTAAATATTTGCTCAAAGAATGCAAGCTCAATATGAAGAAACTATAGAATATCAATTAGGAAATGGATCCAATCTA